GAGCACGGAAAAGACCGGGCGCTCCCCGCGCGCCGCGCGCCCGTACCGCGCAGAGCCCGCGCCGCGCTCGCCCTGCCCCCGAACCCGCTAGGCGAGTGGGGAGAACTTAAAAGGCGGACGACCTGTCTTCAGGATTGGGGGAAAGGTTTGCATTTCGTTTATAAAAATGTACCACGCCCCAGGTTGTCCCCGCCGACCCCCAAGGGCCTTCTTCGCGTCGCGTCGGAAGCGGGCCGGCCGGGGCGAGCGCCGGGGAGAGGAGCGGGGCGCGGGTTTGCGGACCCTGACCACCCCTTTAACTTTATCGCGTTTCTTTAAAGAAGGTCGGCTTTGCCCTCTCTTTATTGCTGCTCCATCCTTTCAAGATCAAAAGCTTTAGATCAAAGCCAAGATCAAACTCACTACTTTAAATAGAAGCAACTTTGCCGTGGACTATTTTACACAAAGAGGAGCTGCTTAATGGAGACATCACAGTGGAAAACTTCATTTTACCGCTTCATCCCGTATTCACAACTGAAGTACTTAAAATTACATTGATGGTGCACTCTTACTTCCTAAAATAAACAACAGGTCTGGTCAGATGGGGGATTCTTGACCCAATGTTTGTGTTTCCAGAAATCCAAAAAACCAAAAACTATACAGTTATATGGAAATAGTAACCATTCTGTATCCGTATTAGCTAAGTGCTATGAAATGTATACTCATTTGCTAAAGATTTTTCAGTGTTATCAAATGTCCTTATATATAATGTATAACTATCATATTCAAATTTTCTCCGGTAAAAGAAATGCATGAAAATAGTTTATGCCTTGCAACAGGCAGGTGAAACTTACAAATGAAGCAGATTATATAATTGCAGAGCTACTTAATTTTACATGGAAATAAAATTTTCAACTATTTAAGCTCCCATGCTACTAACAACAGTTCCAGAATCAATAGAAATCTATCACAGGCTGACATGTACCCACTGGAGTTGTTTTCCTTGGGAACTCACCATCCCTAAGAACTCGATAGGAACAGTTCACTATTGATGTACTAAAACGGTGCCCGGCCCAAATCGACCTTTCTTAATTGTCCTCTTTGTTGATTTATCAACAATTTAAAAACATGTAGTCTTTCAAGAAACAAAACCAAAATAGCTTCTGACAATCCAGTAGCAGAAATAAAGCTAACTATTGCAAATTAAATCTTATACAGCCTTCTATGAAGGAAAATCTGTTGTTACTGCTGAGTAGTTAATACTTGAAGGCTTTTTCTTCCTTATATTTCTCATCTGGTTGTCCTCCCTCTCTCTCTCTCTCTCTCTCTCTCTCTCTCTCTCTCACACACACACACACTCACACACACACACATACCTGTTCCTCACTCTATAAATCCCCTGGAGCCACTGGAAAGACCTTAGGAATTGAGACCTAGGAACCCCATCTTGCTGCCACGGATGGTCTCCTTTTTTCCTAACACGCGCCTCATGCAGAACCTCAAAGTTTCCGGCATAAGCCGAGCCAAGGAAACACACCACTGTCACTCTGCTCCCCTAATACTCTGGGTGGGTTGGGAAAATTGTGGTCCATTTTAATTGCCTCCTAATTTGTTCCCTTTGCACTCCTGCCTCCCCACCCGCACCCCCACAATACATCCTCCACAGAAGAACGT